TAATAATAATAGATTTGAATAATTTCATGATTCAGATTGTAGATGATGATTAGATATTAAAGTAGAGGAAAGCGTTGAAATTAAATTTAAATTGTAAAGTAAACTGTCTTGAGTTAATTGTGCTTCTAACTGGATTCTTGTTTGTGGTTAAGTCAGTCGTTTCCTTGTGTTTCTCAATGGGAATGGGTTAAAAGCTGGTTATAAGGAAATGTTTAAAACCAATATTTTCATTTTTTCTGGTCTTCAATTGTCAACTATTATCTGGTTTGTCAACGTTTACCTGCCATATTTAAACTGTATGGTACATAGATCTGTTTAATAACCTGTTTCAACCAATGATCAAACTAATTGCTCTTCCGATTGTTTTATCCAACCCTCAATAGATACAATCATCTTTCAACCCTTGTTTGTTCAACCATTTTATAGCAACATTACATGTAATATGATCACCATTCTGAACAGCATCCATGTAAGCCAGTTTCATCGCTCCTCATCGCTACTCATCACTTCTCTAGGTTTCTATTAATGATTAAAGGAGATAAATTGTTTGCTTAATTTGTTTTTCCCTTCTTCCTTCATTGTTTCATTCCTAAAAAGACGAAAGGTTGACACCATTCACATGGGAAATACACGCGTGTCCAGGGTAAACGTTAATGTTGCTCTTGAACACGATTAACTAATTGTTTTTATCCTAATCACTTTGGTGACAAGGTTAGACCTTTTTGTTTGCTTTGCAAAACCCAAACTTAGATATTGATCTAATGTCAGATGTAAATTCAACTTTTCCAGGCCTTTCAATTGAAACTTGTCTAACTGTCTTTCAATTTGAGTCTTGAACTAACCTTTTCAGTAATAGTTTTAGATGTTATCAGGTTGTTGTCACAGTAATAATGCAAATTAAGCCGATGCTGTTTTGGTTTTGACCGAGTTAACAGTTAATTTGAAATGTATCCATTAGCGAATCAATGTTTTAAAATGTTTACCCGAGTCAATACACTTATAATGAAACAGTTTTTTGGGTTCATTTCTTGGTACAAAACTAAACTGTTGGGACAATTAAACTTGTCTCGGTCAGAATAATTTAAATTTGATTAAAATCTATGAATCTTGAAGCATGTAACCTAATCTATCACGAAAGGTGCATTTAATGGTACAAAATCATTTTGATACTCGTAAGTGTCAACCTGGTGTCAAACCAGAAACATCATTAAACCTTTATCCTAATTGACTCTGGTTATTTAAATCGCAACCATTAGTCTAGTATCGTGTTAAAAAATAGATTGTTGATGGAAACCTTTACATTACATTAATAGTTTTAATCAAACATCAACAAATGATATTTATTTTGTTGCCTTCAGCGTGACTCCGGTAATAGGGTTAACAAGTTTATTTAGAGTCTAAATTGTTGACAGGTTGGTAAATATTAACTTTACTGAATATGAGAGTCAAGAAGAGAGATATAATGAAATCTGAGAATAGAAGAGGAACCTGTTAACATGGTATTCCAATTGTAAGATTGACAACTCAATAGATGAAGAAGCAAGCCAAGACATTTTTCCCACTAAAATCATACACTTTTTTTTGCTACCAACCAATATTGAACCTCACAATGATATATTAATAAATATTACCTGAAATGTCACCAGTTTGAGTCTGGAAAATGAGGCAAAAAGAAACGCTAATCAATTGTAGTTAGGGAAATGGGTTGAATTGGATTAACGTCAATCTGTACACTTTAAATTGAAAAGTCAAAGTTGATTAGAATCTGCTTTTAATTTAGTTAAATTTACAATTCAATCTTGCGGTTAATCAATAAGCTTGTACTCAACCTGATGCCTAATAATAGCAACAATTTGCATTTTCAATTTTCATATCGACACTTAAAATGTAAATCAATCTGATTCTGTTGTTGCTCGGCCATTCATGTAAACCTTACCGATAATGATATACAAATGGATTGATTTTTATCACGTTGTTTGATCAGATAAACGTGAAACTTTGTTTAAATTGTGGTTGCAATCAAAGTAAATTGTTGTCGTAATGTTTCACTGCTTCAATCAACTCTATTAATTGCAACAATAAATTGAGCTTTTGTCTTGAAAGCCTTTCAAAATGTTTAATACAACCGTTTCTGGTTATGAGCGGTAACATTATCAATGGTTGAGAAGTTCATTTTTTTCATTTCAATATTTTACCTATTTATCATGAAAAAAAAGGTTGGAAAGGTAACAGGGAAACAGGGAAAAGATCAACTTCAAATGGAGCGTTTTAAAACAGTTAACAATCAACTTGAAGTTCATCTGTGTCAACATATTATTGATGATTCCAATGAGATTAATGGGAAATATTTTTTCTGATTTTCTTGAAATGAACAGAAATTTTCTCCATTTGTTCATCTTTGCTTCTCAATATGTCAAGATTAAGTCGTTGATTGGGTTCAGCTAATTATGATCATTGGTTAATCAACTTTGCGGTTTCAACCTTTTCTCATTTGTTTTTGGGCAAAACATACATTCAGTTGTTATTAACACTGATCTTTAAACGCCTTTTTTCTTGATTAACAGTTATTCCCTGTTAATCAAGAAAATCACAATTGATGAACACTTAGTTAACCTGTTATCATCATTTTTCACTGTTGAATCACAATTACATGAGAAGATTGAAAATGTGAAAACACTTTTTTCATGCAACTTTAACATTGTGACTACTGATTGTTGATTTAGCCTTTTGTTGTGTTGAAGAGTAAAAATAAGTTTAAAATGATTTACTCTTTTAAAGGTAACAATTAGCAACAATTAAAAAGGTAGCCAAACTTGGTGAGTTAGTTGTTAAAATATTGATTAATTTTTTGGGTTCTCTTGATTGCTTTTGCTCTTGATTACAGGTTGAATGACATTGGGTTGAAACGAGTTTCAAGGTTGTCTTTAAGTCAACAAGAAATCATTTTGTCTTTAACTTGTTATCAATTGATTAGTCTTTTTTTGTTCAGTAATTATTCAGTGGTTCCATGTGAGTCCAATGTATACCCAAAGAGCGTGCCATTGTTACGCTCAACTTTGTTACCTTGTACCTTATTGGTGACAAGGAAAAATGATAACCTCAAGTGAATAATGAAAAATGGCATTTTGTGACTTTCCTTATTCAACCATAACCGATTCAGTCAACCTTTTCATTATCACATATTGATTGTCATTAATGGTCAAAAAATTGATATTTGCCAGGTAACAATCAAAATATCATCAGTTGAAATGGATACTTTGAAAGGATGAAAACATTGACCGTAACCCATTTTTTGTCATCAAAGAGACTCGCAAGAGTCAAAGATGTTTGGTAAAATTTTGGGTTTTTGGGTTTTGATGAAAATTGATTTTCCCAATTAAATGTTTTTCCAGAATTAAAAGCTTTGATTTGAATGGAAACCAGATTTGGACTTTAAACAGTCACAATGGGTGAAGTCACCAAGTGAATCTTGAGATAAATGGTTCACCAGAAAAGTTGATTATCTTGAGGTTTGCTAAGGTTAGTTTGACTCTACTTTCACCTAACCATTGTCTAGTTGAACAATTTAAAGCCATTTCTCTGAGAATTGTAATTACTTTTATTTCTACCTTTTCTCATTGTTGACTAATAAACCTTTGTTGACTCTCACAATTATCATCACCTTCATCATCATCCTCTGTAACCCATTCTTGACATTTCATTTGAAACTCAACAAGTTGAGAAAATTTTTTTACCTTTTCCATTGTTTTGCCTGTATTTCACTTGGTTTCAGTTGGCTAATGATTCTCATCGATTCAACCCTGATCTATGTTAATGGGTTAAATCATTGATATGGTTCCATCTTGGTAAATATTGTCTTATCCGGAAGTTTTAATGATTCATTTACATGGAATGAAATAAATGAGGGTTTCCATGAAAAAATAAATTTACTCATCAAAATGTCATTGACTTGACTATTATCATTATAAAGCATAATCATCTTGTAAGATTCAAATTCATTTCTCACTTGCCTTTCTCCATGAATAATGCAATTTATGGATGAAAATATCTTCAACTTTCATCTTGAAATGGAAAATGAAAATCTTGAAATTCCTCTGTTGTTCAATTTCAATTTGATTGTGCTTTTGATTGGCATCAGATTAAACCATTGATTATCTCAATCTTGTTTACTTTCAGGCCTAAAGGTTTGTAAACATTAAAAAGCAATTGTTAATTGTACGTGAGTTGAAGATGAACATTGAATTCAATTAACTTTCTCTTTTCAATTTGATTGTCATGAACTGTAATCAAATTGTTCAACATTTAAATCAACTGGATTAAGAATGTTGATTGTAAACGGAATAAACATGATCATCAGCAATCTCTTTGATTAAGATTGATTCACTTTTTTTTTGTTTGCGCTTCAATTTGTTTTCATTTTACTTCATTTTTACCTTTCACTTGACCTTTACTTTGACATGACATTTTACCAATTGCTAATTGTCATCCTTCAAATTGATTAGATTGCTCTGATTGTTTCATTGCAAGTCAATTTATTCATGTCAAATTAATGTTTCTATCAAATGGTTTGTCAGCTAAAAAAAGATCATTAATGGTTAAACCATTTTCATCTGCAATCAATTTGATGAAGCTAATCATTTTTCAATATATTTTGACTTCTTTTTTAAACATTACTTGAAGCTACCTTTCAACGGCAATTAGTAGCAAACCTAATTGTCCAAACTGTAATATTTCAAGTTTTCACGGTCAAAATTGAAAAAAGGAAGCAAAATGAAGTAAATTATTGCAATTAAACTTGAACAATTTACACAACTGATCATTATATTACATCAAAAATCTGTATACGTCAATAGATTGATAATTTAATGACAATAATTATCGAAGTTGTTGTTCAAAAATCAGTGTTTCTCATTGTCGATGTGAATAGTGAATAGCCAACAGGTTTCACTGGTTAACATTTCTTCCAAAGAGTAAACAAGGTTTTCTTCTCTAATTTTTATCTACAATTTTATCATGTGCTAGTTAATTGTGAGCAATAAACTAATTGTTGTCATCTTAAAGGGAACGTCTTAGGCTTAGGATTTATTGTAACTTAAACCTTACGAGTATTCCTTCATAAGGTTTCTCAATCTGGAAGTAAAAGCTTGCAAAGATTGGGTTTTAAAGTGTAAGACATTAATCTAGTAACTTACCCATTCGCAATTAAATTGATTGTGTGTTTAGCTTTTGTTCATCTCCTTCTTATCACCATAAGATAATGAATAAAGTCATTGGTTCATTTTATATTTGTCTTGACAACTGAAACAACAGACGATGTGTTGGATGAGTAAAGAGTTTGAATTTTTGTCCGTTGGTTTCACCTCTTTTTTTTCTGCTCTATCGGTTTATCTCCAACAACGATGTGGAATCATTTTGAATTTTTTGCCATCGAATTAACCCATTTTTAACTAATTAATTTATTTAATTAACCAAGTATTTTTGTGTCAATTGTCATCAAAATGTGGAAATTATTTCAACAAAAGTAGGTTCTCTTTCAGTCTCTTTGTCTTTCTTTCTCTCTTTCTACTTGCCTATGTTAACTCATTTTTTTTCTTCCAATATGTTTTACTGTTACTGTCATCTATTTTGTATAAGTTGAAACCTTTTCAATTGTGTTTTCTTAATCGGACGTTAACCATTTTTTAAGCTGATTGAAGTTATACAAATTTAACTTCATCTTTCTAGGGTTTCGCCAATCAATAAGTAGATCATCTTGATTATTTGAAAATGATATCTTATTCAGTTATCTCTTCTGCTTGGTTGTTGTCATAATATTTAATATTTCTTTTCTCATTTTCTTTTCTTCTTTTTCTTTTAGATCATCAAAGATGAAAATTGCTTCCCAGGAAAGTTGTCAACTAAATCAAAATAAATCATCAACTCTAAACAGGACTGGACCACAGGAATTTGATAATCTGTCAAGTTATACTTTACCTCGTGGTGTTCATTATAAATCTTCCACATTACCTCCTCCACCACCTTCTCGAACACCAACAACCTATTCATCAACTATAAATAAATCGCGGCCATCAAGTATTGTGACAATGAGTGCCGGTGATGATTCATGTGCAATTAACGAACTTCTTGAAGGTCGTATGTATTTAACAGTCATTTTACCACCAGAATTGGCTAACCTCAAGAGCTCAAACAATTCAGGAAATAAAGTAGTTATCAACGTGGAACGTCGTACGCCAATGATGGACATTTTAGTTAACATTGCAACTCAATACAAGTTCAATGCATCTAAGTATCGGATTCATGTGGATGGTCATAATTTTAAAGCCAGCACACCAATTGGTTCCTTAGATGTAAATACCGTTGCAATTGTATCAAAACCAAGTAAACCTGGATTCAGATCTAATGATAATCTGCCACAGGTTATGCCAACTTCTTCAGCCATTTACCAGATTCCAACAAAACAACGTTCAGCAACACTAGCAACACCACCATCTAAATCGAGTGAAAATTCTAATCATCTCCCTCATCATCAGGGTCTATCATTCATATCAAATGTGCCATTTAAACCAACATTCAGACTACAAGTTAATCTACCAAGAAATCAACTAATGGTCCTTCGAGTCTCCCCTGAATCGTCTATTGGTCAAATTAAGGCTAAAATTTGCGAGGAAAAAGAGCTTGATCCAACTAAATATCAATTAACTGCTAAGGATAAAGAATTGTTGCTTCTTGATCCAATCAAGTGTTTAGCAGATTATGGTATTCATGAGGTCTCTTTGATTTCAAATAATCTCCTAACTAAAGTTCGAATGGAACAGCCGACTAACATCAATGGTAATATTAATCATTCGTATCAAAACCAAGATCAGATGACTGTAAATGAATATCAAACAACAACAACTCAAGCTGTGGGTAAATTAAATAAACCAATTAAAAAGAGACCGGCACCTTTACCACCATCAAAATCTAGATTAAATGAAGAATCTGTTGATGGAGAGAAAGCTGATAAAATAATTTACAAACAATCAATCGGAGCTCATCGTGAAGAGAATCATAAAATGGAAGTAAATGAAAAAGTTATATCATGCAACTCCCATCTTCGACAAGATTCAGGATCAGACTCCAGTGGATACCATGAATCATTAGCTTCTTCTGAATCTCCTAGACCATCATCTGAATCTGTTAATCAACAAGGTACTAATTTAAATTGTCGAAACAAATTAAATGATAAAGAAGTTAGTAAAAAGGTGATTACCAAAAAGCGTAAAGCACCTCTTCCACCCAATTTGAAAAATGGTCACAGCGTTGGTGTTGATGGTGGAGGCAGTAATTGTAGTACAAGTAGCAATAAAAGTGAAATTGGTGAATCAATCGATTGTTTGAGTGATGTTAGTGTTCCACTCTCTTCATCTTCCTCCGGTTCGAGTCGCCGAAGTGATTATCGTATGGTTAATGGAAGAGATTCAAGTTTACACGGAGATGAAACTTCATTTACATTAGTCTCAGGAACTGATGATTTAGATGATATTGGAACATTGAAAGGAAGTGATTCGGCTCCAATACCAAGTCCTGACTCAGGAACATGTTCACATGTTCCCCTAGATGAAGAGAAAGGCAGTGATGGAATGGCTTCGGCTCCTGAAAGTGCTATCATGGGAGATTCAGCAATTGGTGATACTATTGTTGAGGAAGCTGATATTGAATTGGAGGAGCAATCTAAAGATTTTCGCGATAATTTATACAATGGAGATCGAACTGATAATAAATTGAGCCGATCATCTTCGCCACTTCCTTCAACAGACGAATCATCTAAAAGTTGTCAAATTGTTGATGATTTTGATGAGAATACACTAGATTCATCAGAATCATCATCTGTTAATCATCTTAATGACTCTTCTAGGTTTTCAGTAAATGAAATTTCCTCATCAACAGTCTCATCAAATTTAACTTCTTTTGATGAACCGGAAAATAATGCATCTGTAAAATCATCTTTACGTGACGAACACAATCCAGACATAATAAAAAGCGAAACATTGAATTCAGCGTCAAATGAAGAATCTCACGAGGAGTCTGTTTCATGTTTAGAAGATAACATTCAGTGTCCGCCAGTTGTTGAAGAAGAGGTGGATAATTGTAAGCAACCGGAGGAACCACTTGTGCAAACAGAAACTCCATCATCACCATTAAAATTATCAACAATATCGTTATCGCCATCCTTTTCTACAACAATTCATTCAATGGATTCTGATTCATTGAGAGACGATAAAGTTTTGAATTATATAGGTGAAACAACCCACAATGGAAACTCAACAAATGTCATCCAAAAAGAGAATCTCTTCACAGAAAACACTAAGACGCCTACAATTGTTTCTGGAAACAAGTCATTTGTGAAACAAGAGACTGAAGATGATAGAGAAAGTCTAAATAAAATGAAAAGAAAGAACAAAGACGATTGTTTGTCTGGACAAGAAGAGGAATCAAAGATGAAAGTATTCAGCAACATGACAAGGTCTGATTATGAGGAGATTAACACAGAGAATAACAATATAAATTTAAAAAATTTACCCGAAGAAATGAATGAAAATGTTGGTCAAAGTCAAGAGGAGAAGAAAGTTTCAAGTAAATTTGTTCGAGATTTATGCCGCCCTAGAGTAAGATTGACAAATTTCAAGATTGGTTCTTACCAGCAAATCAACAATGTGGATATTTACCAGACTCCGAACGTTTCAAAGGGCATTGAAAATTGTATATCTAACGATGTCTCACAAGACGGCTCAATTAGTGCAAATGAAAGACCTAAATCATTGGCTACTGATACGGTTAAACCAGTAATTGTTACAGCATCACTTAAAAATGGCAACACATCGGCCTGTAATGAATTTGGTAGCAATAACATGATTAATTCAAACACCAAAATTTCAATGATTGCTCCTCAGCCTTTCAAATTGAATAGGTTAGCTTCTTGGAGTGGAACTGATACTAAAAGTTTTCGCCAAGCTTATTCAAATATTTCAAATATTGTTGAAAATAGAGAAACTATTGCTGAAAAGGCTGAGAAAATTGAAAAGGTCTTGAGAATTGAACGTCCCATTGACAGGATACCTCGTCTGAATAATGGGTTCACTGGAGGTCATCGATGTGTATCACAAATTGAGATTAATGGTGATTCAGCCAAAGTTTCTATTCGTAATACGCTTTCACCAAATGAAAATGATGAATCTCCAATTCAAGTAACGACATTTGTCAAATCTGAGCAAACACCTTTAATCAACAATAATCAAATAAAGGAAGCAGAATTGCAAAATGGTCGTTCCAAACAAAAACAACAAATTAACAAAATTTTACCTGACAGTAACACAAAGCTGGAAATTATTAAAACAGTCAAATCAAAGACGGAGCCGATTAGCTCAAGATTTGGAGGACCTTCCATAAAGTCAATGGAAACTAGAAGCTTAACACCAAAAGTACCTGTGCCTATTTTACCATCATTTATTCCTCAACCTCCACCACCTCCTCCTCCGCCGATGCCCAACACAACCAGTGGTTGCAAGAAAATTGTCAGAAGTGTGCCAAAATTTAAGAAGACAAATTCCTCAACATCAAAAACTGATTTTCATGATGCTTTACTGAATGAGATTCGAGCTTGTGGCGGAAGAGGTGCCCTTAGGAAGGTCAATATTCATCGTTAACTGTCAATTGGTAGAAATAATCAAATGATAACTCCCATTTATATGTATTCACATAAATGAAATTGTTTTTTTTGTTCTGTAGCTGTAAATAGGTTCAGTCAAAGTACTATTGGGAAATTATCAAAAAATCCTTTTGAAAATAGTGCAAATCTATTATATGCAATGATTTTTTTGTGCAATGAATTATTAATTTAGCGTCATAATTTGTTTCATTTTTGTTTGATGTTGAATAAAAAATATTTAACCATGATTCCCATTTCAAACGAAATTTTATTCAAAAATATTTTAAATTATAATCGCGATACATCGATGGATGAAAAGGGATGTTCAGCTGATTTCTTAATAACCGCTTTTTCTGATAAATTGTGAAAAGCTTTTTTCTGTTTAATTTTTCATTTCTCATCATTTCAAGTTTTCTTTTAATTTCATTCCTTTTCTTGTTGTGTTTGAAAAATTTACTGACAACCTTGCGAAAATGGACAAACAAAAAGTTGGCCACACTCAACAAGGATACTTCAAGCCACAAACTGACGACACTTGCCACATAACAAAAGTACTCAATGGAATTGAGCTTCTGGGTTGTAGTGACGTTTGATTGGAATCCCAATGGATAAGCAAATAGAAGTACAGTTTGATCATCTCTCAGATTTGCCCAGTTCATGCTCCTCAATTGCTGGACTTGGTAAAGCTGGGTGTTACATTCTGGATCATCGTACATTTCCTCACACCTTGATCGATATTTTCTCACTGGAATTCCAAGTTTAAATGTTGAATTGTAAACGTCTCTGGACAATCTAATGAAACTACGATCGGCAAATGCCTTGTTTTCAAGATAAATCGAACTGGACATGCAATTTTTGATTAAATCATGGCGAGATCTACCTCTTGCATCTGGATAAGATATACATTCTGAGTATGGTGAACCAAGACCGTGACTTTGTGTGGTTAAATAAGTCAATATGACCAAGTTATGAGTCCTGCAGTCAACCGAAATTTGCCAAGGACTACCATTAGAGTATGTTAACTCTTCCTTGGTTTCATGGATGTACAATTCAATCGTATTATCCCAAGTTACATTCCAGTTAATGAATATCCGTAATAAGAACTCGTCATAAAAATCATTCCGGTGATACGCAAATGGTGATTCCAAGTCTCCAAAAAAGGTGAAACACTTAGAATAGGCATTGATATTCACTGCCACTTGACTTATATTTGTGCAACTGATGTAATTTTCATCATTTTCGTCTTTTTCCTTAGGCAAAGCTACTTTACAGGAATCAACGAGATCCCACAACCATGGAGTCATTAAATCAATTTCACCCACAGTCAGTTCATAACGCAAATCATAGGAGGTTAAACTGGAGTTCAACGGTCTTGTAACTACCGAACTAGCTTTCTCAAGATCCAACTGATAATGATAACAAATTGATACAGCAGGCAGAGTGACTATCGATGGTCGATAAATTTCAATGATGGTTGAGGTTGGAAATTCAAAATACATGCTGATCAAAGTTGTCACCTGAATGGCTGCTCCAATTGTACAAATGAATAAAGGAGCAATCTTATCAAAGGTGAACTTGAGAGATTTTTTGATCACCCAGTATAAATTTTGACTACGTGAAGGGTCCATTAAAGCACTGACTATGTTGGCATAACACAAGAAGAATCACAAGAAACTGAAGGCATCTGCATAATCATTTCATCGATTCTGAACTCCTTTCCACGCATAGATTCACATTGTTAATGTTTACATTCCAAATATTCTTTATATCATTCTATTTATCTATTCTGAATAATTTTGTATCAAACTAAATTTTACGTTGTAAACAATCAATTTCGATTTCACTGTTATAAAACGAAAAGAAAAGATTGAATATAGATTTAATGGATTTCCACTTGACCTTTTTTTGACCAAAAACCATTTTGTATTTGCTAATGAGCTATAAAATGGTTGTTGTAATATTTGATGTTTCGAAGATAATTGAAGTTTGTCATTATTTATTTTGCCCATTGATCTTTTTATTGATGACTGTCACTTTAAACCTTTATTAATCCATCGATCACATTTTGATGTGATTATTGACTTATGTGACTTTTTGATTATTGCTTTGAAAAACTCCAGATTCTGGAAGGCTTGATAAATTTTACACAATTTTCATCAAAATAGTTGGATGCTTGTAAAATCTATTAGATAGTCACTGATTAATATTTTGTTATTAGAGCAGTTGCAGATGTGTATCCATGATTATATCCAATTCAAACGATCATGATTAATTGAACAAATGCACGGGTGTATAGCTTCGTTAGCTATGATGGCACTTATTACAACGCTTGTAGTTGTTGCTGTCATCTCAATCAGTTCACTATTTAAAAACAATTAATAGTATCCACATTATTGAGTCAATCCCACTACAGCAATAAAAACATTCAATAAAGGATTATTAAGCTTTCAAGATTCATAAAAATTGAAAATAGAAACAAGTTCAACCAGTGAAATATTTAACAAATTGATTGATTCTCAGTCAATATGATAACATTGTTTCATCGACATATTCTGGTTTTCATATTTATAATTGAAATGAATGTTACATCTAAAGTCCTTAAACAAAATCGCTTGGCACACCATCAATATCTTCATCAAATATTTCCAGTTAAAAACTCTAGTGAATTATATACAGTTTATGTGGCAGGTAAAGAGTTTACAATAAAAGTGCCAGCAAGTGTTGAAGATAATCAATACAAAATTATGAACTGGAAAGTGATAAACTCCAACCCAAAACGACTCATGTTTATATCTGGTCCTGAAGCATTCATTATGATTGATGAGCAAATCATCAGAAAGTTAATTTACCCAAATGTAGATATTGGTTCAATAATAGTCTTGGGAAATAACGAGGCTCTTCACATGCCAACAATTTCTAACCCTGATACAACTCGTTCACCTATTGATTGGAACTATTTAGAATTGTTGTATTTCAATGAAGAGGAAGAAAAAATCAAAATAAGCGAGAAAATACCATGGTTTGATCAGAATGACTGGTATTTCATACGAGAATGGAAGCTCCTCGATTATATAATCATAGAAACTAAAATGTACATACTTTCAAAGCGAAGGCTTACCATATATTCCGAAGGCCCAGGACAATTCGCCAATGAATTTTCCATCATTCGATTGTCTCTCGATGTTGATACAAGTTTGCTATCAACTGCAGTCGAGCTTCACAAAAGAGTGTTATCAAGTTTCTCTGCTCAGTTTCTGGTCCATTTAGGTAGCATTGTTGATGAAAATAAACGTTACTCCATAATAATCCAAGAAACTGGACCCGTGAGAAGCGCTTCACTTCGCTGTTTTATCCCCAAAATGGAGGCTCGATTCAAAGCGATTGGCCTTTCTTGTGAAGAAGTCGGAGTCTGTAATCAACTTCATCAACATTTAAGATCAGTGTCAATCCAGTCAAAGAAGTGTGGAGATAAACCAACAGTTGATTGTCCCTTCCCTGAAAACCTTTACCTAACTGATAGCATAGACGTTGCCCTAACAGCTCTCAGGGAAATACCGGTCTATAGTCTAGTCCGTACATTTCACACTCCTTATCCTCACGAGTTTTACAATGTAATTTATTCCGACATAGACAATCGATTATTTTTCTGTAAATTTCAGCCCACTTCATCTTTAATATGTACTCTTGGACCTTCTCATTTAAAGATCCGCGATTTTAACACTGATCTTGTCCTCAATGTGATTAATGGCTCAACATCTTACGTTTTCCCTGTTTATCCATTGAAACCTTCACCAAACGTTCTCAACTATCCGTGTGACAAGCTCGGCAATTGTTTTGATTGTATCATGTATGGCTTTTCATTAGGATGTATTTGGGTTGATGGATATTTTTGTGAACAAAGATCTGTTTCTCTAGTTTATAGTCAAAGAGGTTTTATTTATAATTACTGCAAAAAAATTGTCTCATTTTCAGTGAAACATTTAGAATCGAAGAAAATTTTGGAAATTGAATTTCAAGAAGTTTTTGAACCAGTCAATCGCTTTCACCAGATTGCTATTCTTGCTGGGCCTAACAATGATTGTGTTGATATTAAAATGAACAACACAAATTTAACCTGCGAATTAAATTCTAGGACTTCTGGTTATTTTATTGTTAATGTAACCTTTTATAATGATTCTTATTTAGGTATAACTCCAATCATTGCCATTTCAAATGATTATATTTCGATAGAAGCCACAAGTGCATGGAAAAGAATGACTATCATTGCGACGATTGTAGTTGTTGTTATCATCATAGTATTTTGTTCACTATTTGTTCGCTCCTTTCCCAAAGTTGGTGAAGCAACCAGAACTTTTAGGTCTAAACTCAGTGACTTTATTGGTTCCTCCATCGAAGCAGAATTGAAATCATTAAGATCTAAACCAGCAGCAAGAATTGCTATACGACCAAAAAAGCTAACACTTAAAACCAAAAAGTAATCCTTGAAATTGCTATAAATTTGCTTTAAATCAATTCAATGATTTATACCAAGAATCTCATTGCATTACTGCCTTAGAAACAAGACAGGCTGAGAAATTTGGTTGTCAGAAGTGTTAATATAAATTGATTGCAATAGCAAAATTACAATGTAAATTATGTAAATAATAAAGTAAAGACTTTACTAATTTGGGTTAATTTTCATTCCATGTTGATCCTTTGTTTGTTTTTAAAGCATTTAATCATATCCACATTATTGACTCACAATACAAGGATTATTTGGATATAATCATTAATCGTTAAAAAACATTAAAATGCAAACAAGCTCAAATAATGAAGTATTTTGAAGATCTGAAATTGTTTATTGTAAATATCATCGCATTGATTGTCATCTTTCTAATTGAAACAACTGTTTCAGTTAGACTCTTTAAACAAAATCGTTTAGCCCATCACAAAGTTTATCATCAAGTATTTCCAGTAATTCAAGTTCCAGATTTCGGTAAATTGTATACAGTTTATGTGGCAGGTAAAAAGACTACCATAAAAGTGCCTGCGAATGTTGAAGATGATCAATACAAAATTGTGAACTGGAAAGTGATGAACACCGATTCAGCTCGACTATTGTATATATCTGATGGTTCAGCTTACATTATGATTGGTTATTTTGATGCAATCAAGAAAAAATTGACTTTTCCGCATGCAAATATTGGTTCAATAATAGTCTTAGGAAATAACGAAGCTATTCACATTCCAACAATTGTCAATCCTAATA